GGGGTTCGTATCATTCTAGGAATGTGTGAAGACCAGCCAGGCTGGTTGCTGTGAAAGGACCAGACAAATCTGTGAGCAGGGGTCTCCCAGGCCCTTGTCAAATATTTGTGATTGCCTMGTGGGTATGAATGGGGGCTGCTTCAAAGGCGAAAGGGTCTTTATTCCTTTTCATTTCCTTCCCAAGGCAGCCTTATCTCAATCCAAGCACTTTAATAGGAGTGTAATATCCTCCATTCTACTTTGAGAATATTAAAGCAATCTGATTTTCAGTACAGAAAAATTRAGGGGTTTTGAGGGAGGGGAAATTTTGTTAGCATTGAATATTTTCTTCCTTGTTTGCAAAATGCATAATTTATGTCTTCAGAAGGGGCATCAATGTCTTAATGTGTTTAACTTCAGAACAATTTGAGTTGGTTAAATCCACCTGCTTCCCACAGGAAAGGCAAATGATTAATGATATGGCGAGTCCTGGATGGTCTTCAGGCCTACAAAGGAGGTGAGGGAGAATAGTTTTGGAGACAGAATTCAAGAGTCTTGATAGTTTTACACTTTKATATGTCTACTAGATATACAAGTGGAGATGCCAAAATAGGCAGCTGGTGATATAATCCAGGAGCTCAGGGCTAAAGATACACGTTTGGGAACCATGAGCCTGTAAATGGTATTATGGGAATAGACATGGTTGCGTCATCAGATAAGGAGACCATGAAGATGGAAGAGGAGAGGAACCTCCTGATTCKGAGCCACAGCTCCAGTCTTTACTGTTCCTGCAAAGGAGGACCAAGAAGCAGGCGGGAAGGCAGAAGAGAGCGAAGGGACTGAAGTGTCACAGAAGCCAAGAGAAGAGAGCGCAGCATTAATAATCAACATGGAGAAGGGTTAGAAGATGGAAGGAAATGTAAGTATCAGGATGTCTGTATTTTATTACCTTTCATATTTTGAAATGAATTTTGCTTAGTTTTTCTAATAAGCTCTTTTCTTGCTCTCTTCTTAGGTACCCATAGATATATTCCAAATTTTTGTTTTAGCTGTGATCCTTGCCAGAATTGGGCAGATTCTGGTAGAGTTCCTGTACCAGGAAGAGCACTCTTTTCCAGGATATATCCCTTAATTTTCTGGTTGTTTTTGGGCACTCRAGCTGTGGAAAATATTTTTCTATATTTTTCCCGACTTCATGGGATTATTCCTTCTCCCTTTCAGAAGAACATTGGAAGTCTTACTTTTCTTTCTCTCCATCCCCTTGATAGGGAAGGAACTCTCTTACCTGCCCAAAGAAATCCACCCCTCCCCTCACCCCAAGCTTTAGGTGATCTCACACAGACATGGAAGTAACCCTTTGAAGTCTCTGGAAGATCTTTCTCCTTTCTRTGATGTTTTCTCTGTCTCATCCTATTTCACTGCTTGATAAGGTAGCCAGTATTTGAGATTAATTTCATTTTCCTCTTCCATTATTTTGCAGTCATTATTTTAGTTCTTCCCCACACATCTCTCCTGTTCCTTCCTTTTGAATCTTGGGGGTGGGGTCTTGAGAGCTCATTGCTGCCACACAGTCTTTAGTTAATGAGCTCCCTCTGACAGTACTGGGGTGTTTAAAATTTGGTGCTTAATTTTAAAAAACTGATTTAAAAATTGAGGAGAGAAGAATTTGATTGACTTAAATATCATAGAACAAAACATTCTTACTGTTATTATTTAAATAATTCAGAGATGCATAGAAGAAATTAAAAGTTAGAGTATCCCACAGAGAAAATAGGTAAGGGATTGTCTYAGATGTGGCCAAGGGAAGTCCCAAGATGATTGCTACTGAAAATARCCAGCCCAGGATAGAAAAGAAGGTCAGATGCTCCAGTAGGGATATCTCTAGAAGAGTAGAGAGCTGATAAATTGTTTAATAGACTTAACTAGATTGAAAGTTATAGAAGAATCATTTTTATAGAGTTAGTAAAGGATGTGGAGGATAGACATTCAATGGAAACAAAGTGAAGAGAAAAATGAAGCAATTCTCAATTCCAAGAAAAACTGAAGGTTGTCTGAGAAAGGAAATGTAATTGTAGTCACTTCTTGGTTTAGTCACCAACAATGTTTTGCATGGTCATAATGAATCATTGAATATGTATTGAACCAAAATTGATCTCTATTTACATTAGGAGGATGGATTAGGGAAAGAATGAGTATAAACAAACCTAACAGGAAATCAATAGATAATGTGTTTTGTGTCTCTGGGGGCAGAAGGGGAAGTATGGGAATGGGGGATATAAAATAAAAGAATGTAGTTGGTTGGTATATGCATTTGAAAGCACTACTTGACTTTTAACTCTTTGAAGGTAAAACTAAATTAATCAAAAGCAAAGAAAATGCAGCAGAACTACATATTCTGACTTCGGAAAGTTGTTTAAGATATAATGTTTGGGGCTGGGGATGTGGCTCAGGCGGTAGCGCTCTCGCCTGGCATGCGAGTGGCCCAGGTTCGATCCTCAGCACCACATACCAACAAAGATGTTGCGTCCGCCGAAAACTAAAAAATAAATATTAAAATTCTCTCTCTCTCTCTAAAAAAAAGATATAACGTTAAGCAAAGCAAAACAACAACAACAACAAAAAGCAAAAAACAAAAGCAAATTGGGAAAATATTGCATTTTGGTTAAAAAGTTACTATTTTAATATGGAGCCATAATGATAGTTATCTTGGGGATTATGGAGGATTTTTGTTTATGGAATTTTTGAATCATTCACAATATTATATCTGTGAAAAAAGACACTCTAGGAAAGATATATCAAAAAAAAAAAAATACCCCACGCCCACAAACAAACAAAAACAGGGAACACTTCCCAGAAGAGGAGCATTATTTTTCACATGAGGTAAAAGATTAGAATTTAAAAAACGTGAACAAAAGCAAGAAATGCATTGGGGCAGGGTAAACRGCGCCCTTTCTCCTTTCTTATTGTGCTGAAAGTTGGTGAGGAGATTTTGTGAGTTCAGGAGAATGAACTTTAGTGATAACAATATCGGTGAACTCCAACAGTGATGACTGACATTTCTCAAGGCACTATGCTGAGAGTTTCAGGTGGATCGTCATCCCCTAGTATCTCTGGGAGATTGGCCGTAGGACCCCTGTGGATCCTAGATACCCATTCCTTGTATAAATTGGTGTAGTATTTTTATATAACCTATGCAATCCTCCTGTGTACTTCAGATAATCTCGATGTTACTTGTAATATCTAACACAATGTAAATAGTTATTATACTGAATTGATTAAGGAATCAATCACAAGACAAAAAAAGTCTGAACCTGCTTTAGTACAGATGCAATTTAAAAAAAAAAATTTTTGAGGTATGATTGATCGAATGTGCAGAGGCTAAACCCAGTTACAGAGAGACAACTATATTGCCTTATTTAATTCTCACAAAATCCATTTCATATTCATTTACCTATTAAAAGTATTTATCAAACATTTGCAATGTGTTAAATGTTAGGATTACAGTAATAAGGTAGTCATCATCTCTGACCCYGAAGAATTCCCCCCCCCAAAGGAGAAACAGAAATTAAACAAATACAAATAAATATTTGATGGCATACAGTAAATAAATGACAAGGGAGGTAGAACAAAATAATAAGGGAATGTATTTCAGATAGGGCAGTCTATAAAGTGGTTTCATAGAAGCTGACATGTTTAAGCCAAGACCTCAAGAACAGGAGGAAGAAGAAGGTCCTTGAGAAGATGTGAATGACTGAAGCATGGAGAACTTTTTCCTCTACTAGAGAAGCTAAAGGTCAGGGAGAGTACCAAGGGAGAGTGGTACTTGCTAAGTCTAGAAATGGACCAGATAATCCAGGGCGGTGCAGACACAACTTAAGTGCAATGGAAAGGCCTACAGGGTTATAAGCAGGCAAGTGAAGGATCTGATTTATATTAAGAAACATTTCTCTAGCTCTCTTGTTGAGAATTGATTGGAGGAGAACAAGAGCAAAATTAAGAGAGCYGTCCAGAAGTTCTTGTGGTATTTCAGGTTGGAGGTGGTGATAGTTGGATATAGAATGGTGGCGGAGAGTTGGRGAGAAGTGGATGAGTCCAAGGTACATTTTGGAGGTAGAGTACAAAGGGCCTGATGGTGGAGAAGCTGTGGTCAGGGAGAACTTAGATTCCTGGCTTGAGCAGTGGAGTGGACATCTTGCCATTCTCCTATTTTTTCAGTCTATGAGACTATAACTCCAAGAGATTATGCAATATGTCCCAAGAGGTATAACTAGTAAATGGTGTACCAGGATATGATTGTGGGCCCATTCAAGTCCATRCATAACCAACATTGTATTCTCCCTACAATGAATCATATCCTGCTATTTTCTAAAGAGAGAAATGATTTTCTGCTGAATTATAATCTGTTGTCCATAACTCTTTTGTTTGGTTATCAGAAAAAAGTCAATGTGCAGGTATGTTATCRGAAGAATGTTTTTGTCCTGGAGTGGACTGGGAAATATTATTTGAATCACACTCTGGAGATGATGTTACTCCTTAGGTGTCTGATGTAGGTAAGCCAGATCAAGTCTGAAGGACTGGAAGCCATAATGCTAGATATGGACTTTCTGTTGCCAGTTAGAAAACCAAGCTTCCTCTCTTTGTTATCTCCTGTGGGATCAGGAAGAGTGTCATCTCTGAATTTCTCTGAGGTATATTTCAAAAAATTTATTGGATGTTGTTAAGGGCAGTTGCCCTRGAAGAAGTGGTCTTAGTCTGTGGGAAAAAAGAAAACACAAAGTAGGTTAATAGAGACTAAACCCACAGCTTCCCCACCCCCAACCCCAAGTCTACAGATATAGGAGGGGACGGGCAGACAGATAGTAGGGATATTGATAGCATAAGTGGGATTCAGTTAAAACAACAACAACAACAACAACAACAACAAGTAGTTTGAAAACTCAATTATGGATGATGACCCTAATACAAGATAACTTCTCAGATAATTTTGGATGTCCTGAGACTTTCTGTGTCTTCCTGGTATTTTGGGAATCTGTAAAATGGCCCTTTTACTTTATTTGCAAAATCATAAGAAAAGGTAAGAATATAAGAACATGAAGCAATCATGGGTTTACCTCCTTGGAATGATTAATTGTGGAGTAAATTGTAATGGAGTCCTGTTTT